ATTATATCCATCATTGCCCTACTGCTGCCTTATGCATCAGGCGCGAGATCTAGACAAGCTATTCCTCATACTTTTGTGGGGACAGTTGGGCACTGCCTAAGGGGCGACAATAAATCCAAACATTGAATGAATGGCTTTCATATTTTTTCTGTAATCGGTTTTGCACGATAACTGCGCACACACTGATGCACTTGCGCCCGTTTTCCTTCAGTGACGTGCAACTGACGGAGGACGCAGTGAGGAGGTATCTCTCCAGGAAGCCCATGACTACCAAGGACCTCCTCAAGAAGTTTCAGACCAAAAAGACGGGGCTGAGCAGCAACCAGACGGTGAACATCATCGCACAGATCCTTAAGAAGCTCAACCCCGAGCGCAAGCTCATCAGCGACAAGATGCACTTCTTTCTCAAGGAGTCCAGCGGCTGAAGTGTTCAGATGATGTTGGGGGGACGTCGGGGGCGATGGTCATTGCAGAGTAAGTGGGTCTTTAATAGAAGCAGTCCAGGGGAAATACAACTTGAGCAATTAGACCAAAGGTCTTGGCCATATTCAGGGCATTGGATGAAACAAATTCTTTCTCATACGTTTTTTTTATATATAACGTGATGAGCTTCCATTGCAGCTGTAGGATGTGTGAATGGATTTCATGTTCCCCAAAGTCATAGCATTTTGGCTGCTGTGTGTAAGATTCTCAGTGTTTGTCATAGGCAGTGTTGGTACCTGTAATGTCGGGACTCCTTTGAAAACAAACTTTCGAAGCGTCGTCTTTGTAAAGGGCTTTTCAATCCAGACGAGTCCGTGTTTTCACAAATTGTTTTTGGCTGTTCATCATAAATGCATCTCGTCTGCATGTCAGTGTCAGTGGGTAGAGTGATTCTCATCTTAACCATAGCTTTGCTGAACAGTTATTTTGACACATTCGATGAGTTTGCAGCAGTCCAGGTCCCAAGTGTAACGAAGTGTGGGACATCACACGGATGTGAGATGCCCAAGAGCTGTTAACAGAGCCGTGTTGTGTTTGTGTGTGCTCATTGCGAACTTGTAGAGCGAATTGCCGGCAGTATCGGAACTTGTCATGTTGAGTGTGTGACATATTTGTCAATCAAAACATTTTTCTTGCTGCTTTTCACGTCCACTTTGTGAATAAATAAACAAAAATGCACACTAAAGTTGACATCGCAAAAAGCCAATGTTGTTTACTCTACCAGATTTTGTGACATTTTGTAACTGACTTTTTTGTTCTCCAGAAATAAATGTTGTACCAATGCACACACCATTTGTGCATTTTTGTTATAAGGTCGTGCTCATTGCACACAAAGTGCTTACCACAAATGAACCACAATACCTTGCTAAATCTTGCCAAGGAACAAACCATCACACAAACTCTTGTTTTTGCGTAATGGTCCACTTCGAACGTCGACCACCAACTAAAGTGCGCAATTTCCTGCTGGGCACACCTGTTGTACTGAACTCGCAACGAATTGGCATGTTTTGTTTTTGCAACAAATCTTACTCATTGGTGGTGGCAGGTTTAACGACGTTTACGCAATCTAACCCAAAAAAGGATATTAGTCGCGAAAGCGTACGTGTTAAACTTCCTTCAGAAGTTTGCGCATCGCGACGGGCGACGTGTCCAAGAAGTGACAGCCGTCTCCCTCGAACTAAGCTCTCAATCGCTTTCGGAGACCGGTCGCAGATGCAATAGTGACATTTCTGACGAAGTCGAACCATCGGATTCCTTGAGTTCACACCCAGTTAAAATAAACTACCGTGTTCTTTGTCTTTCGGTAAAGTCACTTAGATAGTTTTAAAAATAATAAAATAAACAACAAACTACGATGTCTCGATTGCAGCACAAGCGACCGTCGTCAGGTGGGAAAAAAGGGGGCGAAAGCCACGAAAGGCGAGCTGTCTTTAAAGGTGTAAAATGGACGTAGCCCAAGCCTCCTGGAATCGGAACGAAGTGGGAAGGGCACAAGTGCCCTGGGGCCAGCACAAGCGGAAATGGTTATGTTAATGTGAAATCAGGAGAAGGGGAGCCGCATGAGACATGGAGACATTAACAACTTGTGTGGTACGTTTAATGCAGGGGCAACACCGCAGGAACTGGAATTGCTTGTCCCATCTTTAGTAAAGTAAAACTAACATCGGAAGGTGACAAGATGGAAACAGGCAATTATGACTTAAACTGGTTGATGACGTCCTTCCAATGATTGCTGAGTTTGTACCCATCCTCTCGGTTGAAATTGTGTATATGGATGGCTTCATGAACGAATCTTTGTTGATAGCCAGTGGGCTTGCAAAGTACCTTCGTCTTAGAGAAATCAATTTCTTGTGAGCTAACCGCATCAAAACAATGATCAGCCACGGCTGAAGTGTTGTTGGTCCTCTCGTGTTTCAAATCTACCGAATACTCACAAACACGTCAGGGATCTTATCCTTAACAGATGGGATCAGATCACGAATTTTATGCACTGTTAAATCGAACCTGCATCTTGTGTTTGCTCATGATTTGGGAAATATTTTTGGTGACCCCTGCTATGTATTGCAAGGTGATGGTTTTGATTGAGTCCTCAGATGACTCTTTCCCGACGGTTGAGGTGATAGCATTACGGATTGTGTAGTCCAAATATCCATTCGTCTGAGAGCCTGCTGCACGTGTTTCAGTTCACTGGCTAGGTGATGATGGTCGGAGATACATCGAGCTCTATGGTGTAGAATTTTGATGAGGGAATTCTTCTAGGATGGATGGTGGTGGGAGTCAGGTTTTACGTAGGCATCAGTATCGGTTGGTTTCATGTAGACAGTGGCCAATTGAGCCATCTGGTCTCTTCGAATGTGTGGATCTGGCTTCTTGGAAAGGAGGTTGAACTTGGAAATCAGGTTATCTTTACATTTAGCTGACATTGTAGCGGCTGACGAGGCTGTCATGTTATCTACATGTTCCCAATTAGATGTAGAGATTTTTCTGTCAATGTTAAGTATGATTTCTAGAGTGTCTTGTTCACATGATCTAGTTCAATTCGGAGCAATCTAATTCTCTCTGAGATCAGCGCCAAGCCTGCCTTGAACAAGATTCGTTTAGCATTAAAAGATGTGACAGCAGCAGGCACCATTGCAATCATTGAAGATATGGTCCAGCAAGGATTGCATGCTGATGTACCGGCCCTAGTGAGACACTGCCTTACCAACACATACTTCACCGGGAATGGAACATTCTACAAACAAGTTGAAGGCACCCCAATGGGTTCTCCCTTATCTCCGGTTGTAGCCAATGTTTTCATGGAAATATTTGAGACAGACGCCATCCAGGCATCCTCTCTACATCCGTCCTTGTGGAAGAGGTACATAGATGACACATTCGTTATCTGGCCACATGGCTGACCAGCTCTGAACCAATTGCTCAATCACATTAATTCCATACACCCAGCCATCAAATTCACCATGGATGACAAGCTACCATTCTTGGATGTGCTAATTTAGAAGAGACCAGATGGCTCAATGGGACACTGTCTACAGGAAAGCAACCCATACTGATGCCTACTTAAAACCTGACTCCCACCACCATCCATCCCAGAAGAATTCCCTCTTCAAAACTCTACACCATAGAGCTCGATGTATCTTCGACCATCATCACCTAGCCAGTGAACTGAAACACGTGCACCAGGCTCTCAGACGAATGGATATTCGGACTATACAATCCGTAATGCTATCACCTCAACCGTTGGGAAAGAGCCATCTGAGGACCCAATCAAAAGCATCACCTTGCAATACATAGCAGGGGTCACTAAAAAGATTTCCAAAATCATGAGCAAACACAAGATGCAGGTTCGATTTAAGTGCATAAAATTCGTGATCTGATCCCATCTGTGAAGGATAACATCCCTAACATGCAATACCCCGGCGTCGACAAACTAAGCTGTCTGCGGCGGTAGTTACATTGGGGAAACTAAGCGACATGTCTCGGACCGTGTTCGTGAGTATTCGGTAGATTTGAAACACGGGAGGACCAACACTTCAGCTGTGGCTGATCATTGTTGTAATGCGGTTGGCTCACACGAAATTGATTTCTCTAAGACGAAGGTACTTTGCAAGCCCACTGGCTATCAACATAGATTCGTTCATGAAGCCATCCATATATACAGACACTGACACAATTTCAACCGAGAGGATGGGTACAAACTATGTAATCATTGGAAGGACGTCATCAACCAGATTAAGTCACAACTGGCTATCATGTTTCCTTCTTGTCACCTTCCGATGTTAGTTTTACTTTACTAAAGATGGGACAAGCAATTCCAGTTCCTGCGGTGTTGCCCCTGCATTAAACGTAGCACACAAGCTGTTAATGTCTCCATGTCCCATGCGGCTCCCCTTCTCCTGATTTCACATTAACATAACCATCTCCGCTTGTGCTGGTCCCAGGGCACTTGTGCCCTGCCCACTTCGTTCTGATACCAGGACGCTTGCGCTACGTCCATTTTAACCCTTTAAAACAGCTCGCCTTTAGTGGCTTCCCTTTTTTTTCCACCAGATGACGGTCGCTTGTGTTGCGATCGAAACGTCGTAGTTTTTTTTGTTGATTTCATTATTTTTGAACCAATCTACGTGACTTCACCGAAAGACTCCAAAGAATATGAATTCCTGCAGTCACGAAAGCTTTAAGACGGGTGGGGAACCTTTTTTTCTGCCAAGGGCCATTTGGATATTTATAACATCATTCGCGGGCCACATAAAATTATCAACTTAAAAATTAGCCTGTTATATTTGGTCATACATCGAATTAACTCACCCCCCCCCCCCCCCTAATGTGATGGCTGGAACAGACCAAATGATTTCGCGGGCCCCACACGGCCGGCGGGGCCGGGCGTTCCCCACCCAACTACCGTTGCACGTGAAAGTGACATGGAACTCCGGGCTCCACGTGTTCAGCGCGGAGCTGGCGGGTGACGTCACTCGTGGGTCCCGCGCGCCACGTGGAGGCGGCGGCGTCGTCACGTGGCGTGCCCGCGCGTGACGACGTCACGGCACTCGCCGCTACAGAAGCAGCGTGCGCGGATGCGAATGCGGGGTACGGTTCAACCGGTAGAAGGAAGAGCGAGGTAGCAGCAGAGTTGCAGTAGTTCGGTCCATGCAGCAACAGCAGCAGCAGCAAACAACAACAGTTGGTGTCAGCTGTCATTGATAGCTGTTGTCGCTTCGAGCAGCAGGAAGTGTTTTACGTGTTGCAGCAGCAGCAGCTCCCCTGTAGTCATCAATTCAAGCAACAGCGGTGGTAGCAGCTTGCCACAGTCGTAGTAGTTGGTTGTTACGGGTAGCGGCAGCAGCAAGCAGCAGCGAGTGATCTTATCCATGGCAGAGGAGGAGGAGAGCGATGCGGGGCAAGAGGCGAGCCTGCCGGAGTGGAGGCGCTTGGAGCGCGCTCTTCTCGCCAGTTTGCTGGGCGTGCGGGACGCGTACCGGAGGAGGTTTACGGCGGCAGCACGGGAGGAGACGGAACCACCACCACCAGCACGAGAGGAGACGGAACCACCAGCACCACCACGGGAGGAGATGGAACGACCACCACAGGAGGAGCGGGACGCCCGGCAACCAGGCAGCGCGTTGGACTGGCTGCCAGTGCGTGTCTCAGCAGTCGCCGTGAAGCACGCGGCCACGCGACGCGCGTGTTGTTGTTGTTGTGAGTGTGTTGTTGTGAGTGTGTTGTTGTTGTGAGTGTGTTGTTGTTGTGAGTGTGTTGTTGTGAGTGTGTTGTTGTTGTGAGTGTGTTGTTGTTGTGAGTGTGTTGTTGTTGTGAGTGTGTTGTTGTTGGTGTGTGTTGTTGGTGTGTGTTGTGTGAGTGTGTTGTTGTTGTGAGTGTGTTGTTGTTGTGAGTGTGTTGTTGTGTGTTGTTGTGTGAGTGTGTGAGTGTGTTGTTGTTGTGAGTGTGTTGTTGTGTGAGTGTGTTGTTGGTGTGTGTGTGTTGTTCTGAGTGTGTTGTTGTGTGAGTGTGTTGGTGTGTGAGTGTGTTGTTGTTGGTGTGTGAGTGTGTTGTTGTTGGTGTGTGTTGTTGTTGGTGTGTGTGTTGTTGGTGTGTGTGTTGTTGTTGGTGTGTGTGTTGTTGTTGGTGTGTGTGTTGTTGTTGGTGTGTGTGTTGTTGTTGGTGTGTGTTGTTGTTGTTGGTGTGTGTGTTGTTGTTGGTGTGTGTTGTTGTTGGTGTGTGTGTGTTGTTGTGTGTGTGTGTTGTTGTGTGTGTGTGTTGTTGTTGGTGTATGTGTGTTGTTGGTGTGTGTTGTTGTGTGTTGTGTGAGTGTGTTGTGTGTTGTTGTTGTGAGTGTGTTGGTGTGTGTGTGTTCTTGAGGTCCGTTCCTTGATTTCCTGCCAGCGAGCCTTCCGACACTTCATGCGGACTCAAAAGTGCACCTAGCCTGGCACAAGCGGCGTGGTAACGTCACCGCCACCTGGTGGCGAATGGTGATTGTTGTTCTTGCTGATTGTTGTTACTGTTATAGTTTTCCGTCGTTCTATAATGCGAGGTAAAGCTGGGAGATGGAGCAATTCGATCTAATCCATGGAATGTGTGTTCGCGTGCAGTACATGTCAACAATGTTGTATTTTGTATTGCATCGCAGTATCGCCAGAGGCTTTGGGGAGATCTTCATCCAGCAGTGGATTGACCATGGCCGATGATGATTTATTATAACATTACAATTGTGAAGGTTTGCCAGGAGCAGAGGGTGGTCTTGAATCTCTAAACGCGCTGAGGATTTGAGTGCCCGAGAGCACGTCCGGCGAGTAGATGTGTGGATTGTTCCACCGGATCGTTAGTTATCCTGGAGGAATCCGATGAGCTATGAAGCTCTTTGTTTTTGTTCGCAGATGTCCAGTACGTCATAGCGATGGTTATAGGGGAGGCCTTCATCCAGCAGTGGATAACATCGGATTACTTATTGTGTAACTGATGTTAGAAAATTATTTCCCTTCACTGAATTAATCTATAATCTTAGTTCTTTCGGTAAAGTCACGTTGAAGGGAAACAACAAAATAATAAAATATATATAAAACAATAAAAATTCTCACGACGTTTCGATCATAACACAAACGGTCGTCTTCTGGTGTGTTGGTTTTATTTTTAAACCAACACAAAGAACTAAGAATATGAATTACTGCAGTCACGAAAGCTTTAAATCAAAATTTGAATTAATCTAATTATACTCTTTGGTTCTATTGGGTAAAGTCACGTAGGTGAAAATAAATAGAACCAAAGAGTATGGATCTTAGCAGTCACGAAAGCTTTAAATCTAGAATTAATCTAATTATGTAGGCGTGCGTGACCACGCCAGCCGAGTGCAAACAAAGGTGACGTCATTCGTGTAATACTGAGCAGTGTAACCCTGGGTGACAATCGTGTACCTGATTACGGTTACGTCAATCTAAATTATTGCGATGACGTCACGTCCATGTGCTTAAACACACGGGCAGGCTTGTGACGTAACTCAGTTGCAATGACGTAATTTGAAACATACGGGTCACCGCAAGCACGTCGCCGATGACGTGTCCCAGTTCATTCGCCGGGTGGTGGCTGAGCGTCTTTAACAAAGGCGACGAGGAAACGCGCTGGTTATATCGACTTTAATTTGTTTTTAAAAGACTTAGCAGAGTTCTAAATAAATAAGTCGGGGTATGCGAGACGCGAATGCGCATAGCGTAGGCTACTTAAGGCTGCGTGAAGGTGTCAGGGCGTACCGGTTCCATGGTGTAATGGTTAGCACTCAGGACTCTGAATCCTGCGATCCGAGTTCAAATCTCGGTGGGACCTTCCGGTAATTTTTCTTTATTTTATTTTTCGGCAAGTTACTATATTTTTACTTCTTTTTTAGAAGTGGAAAGAATGCTTTTTTCATGATGATATAAATAGGAATAATTTGAGTTGAAAGTGGTGCTTTTTGTTCTCGAGTTAATTTGGGGCCATCCATTTAGTAGTTACGCAAATATCTGTAAAAAATTTGACCCCTCCCCCCTCCCTGTACGCACGCGAACTTTTTACCCCCCCACCCACTGCGTACGTACGCCTGACGCACCCCCCCCCCCCGAATCCTATAGAACGGCCGATATTTAATCCACGCGGAAACGAGCAAGGATTCATATTAACGTGATTAAGCAAACAGATAGTCCACCGCTGGACTATCTAACTCATTTGAAGGCCAATGTAGACAAATTATTATCGAGACTTCACCCCCCCCCCCCCACCGTTTTCTATGCGTGCATTATCAGCAGACCCCCCCCCCCCCCCATACGCAAGCCAACGCATTTGGGTTAACCCCCCTCCCCCATCCATGCGTACGGACTAAATGGATGGGCCCTTCCTGGCCTGTGAATGTATTTTCTCGTGGTGAATAGATCGCACGTGCTAAGGTGGCCAGGAGAGGGCAGCACAGCAATGTGCTTTGATTCAAGTGTTCACCTTTTGAGTGTTTTTCTCCATATCCATACGTACTTGGGAGTGGTGCTTCCATCTGACTTTCCAAACACTCAATAATAGACCAAAAAAATGCAATACATTTGTCAATACCACTGTTGTGATTTAAAGCTTTCGTGACTGCAGGGATTCATATTATTGGTTATTTTATCATGTTATTGTTTCCCTTCGACGTGACTTTACCGAAAGTACCAAGAATATGAATACCACTGTTACCTTAAATAATTGGCGACGTTTCGGGCAATGGCCCTTCTCCATAGCCTGAAACGTCGCCTGATTTTCATTTGAAGGCCATCGCCAAATAATGTACAATACTCATTTAAAGAGTTAACCAAGCGTCCCAATGCAAGACACAGAATCATGATTCGTAACGAGCGAAGCCGCAATTCGAGATTGAATCCATGGTGGTGTTGATCGTATAATCCGTGCCTCAGGTGTGGCGGTTCCATGGTGTAATGGTTAGCACTCAGGACTTTGAATCCTGTGATCCGAGTTCAAATCTCGGTGGGACCTAGTCGTATTTAAAAATATGTTTTTTGTAGTTTTGTCATAATTAAATCACTATTTCTGAGTTATTATTTCAACTGAATATGATTCAGCTTCTTAGGCAGCCTGATTGACGAGTCAACAGTGAGTCCTGTCCTCCCAAAATCACTGCACATGACAACCACTAAATCTTTAATCACTGATCTGAATTCCACCATCCTGCTCAATTCCGAAATGCCACGGTTGCACCTGCCCATATCCCCTCTGTCATTTGTTTAAATTTACCTTCTCTTTTCTCAATTCTCTCTTATGTAATAATCGCAGGTCATCAGTCGGTTCCATGGTGTAATGGTTAGCACTCAGGACTTTGAATCCTGCGATCCGAGTTCAAATCTCGGTGGGACCTGTAAATGTAGTTTTTTGGTAAGTAGCAATTCTTAATTCAATAATCGTAATAGACATTGAGTTTCGTGATTGCTTTGGAGTCGTTCTCTTCTAGGGTGAGCAATCACTGTGCGTGTTACAAGTTCAAATTATTATTGAATGTTTAAGGATGGGCAGCATTTGTACGTTTAAATATGGCCAGGAGATGGCAGTACAGCGATGCACCGAGTCTATTGTGGTCCAGCAATGAGTAGTTTTCTCTAAGTATCGAACAATCGTCTTGTTTCCTCTCACTTGTTAGACACTTTGAACACTCAACGATAGTTGGACTAAAGTAAGTAATGTCTCATGTCCACCGAGCTGATTAAAGGAAACTGATTCACGGTGAAATATCCCAATGCAGGGAGGGGCCTGCTGAGAATCTTAACAAAGTACTTGGGAAATATCCTCCAAGAAAAACTTACCTGTATCTTATGCAGTCCATGGTCTAACAGAGTTCTGGGAGTGTATAATTTCAGCAGCATTGTTTCATAACAAACAATGCTGCTGAAATAACCGATGGGTTATGTAAGAAATAGTTTTATTTTCTCGCGCGGTATTTATATTCTCCACAAAGAGGCGAATTATTTTTCCCCATATGAAAAGTATTACCACGTTAATGAATGGATTCCGTAGAGTTTGATCGATCACACACACACTGGGGTTGGCTTATCGGCCCGGCAGTGTGTGGCGGTTCCATGGTGTAATGGTTAGCACTCAGGACTCTGAATCCTGCGATCCGAGTTCAAATCTCGGTGGGACCTGGAGTAATATATTTTTTTATTTGTGTAAGTTTTAATTCTGAATTCAATAATCCGAATAGAAATTGAGTCTCGTGCCGCATGTGCTCTCTAATTAGTTATTTGTAAACGTCAGTGCCCCTTTCTGTATTCTGTAATTGTATATATTTTTTAGCCACGCGATGGTGGCTACGCACACAAAATAATACAATCCAGCACTGTGGGGGCCGCGAGTGTGGTGATGTTGCGAAACTCCGTATCAGAATTTTCATTTAGACTGTGGGAATCCGATGAGCTATGAAGCTCCTTTTCACAGATGTCCAGGTATCCGTGGGCGTCGAGGTACCATAATCAGGAACGCCAAGAGAAGTCGGTACAGCAAATGTTGGGACTCCCACCCGTTCCATCTGTACGATTATCGAGTGTATATGAAGGAGACCTCTTATCTGCTTATCTAGTTGGTATTATATATTCTGGACAACGGCCCCAGATCAAGTGGGCCACCGTGTCAG